TATCAACGTAGTCAGCTCATTAAAAGGCTGATCATCCTTCAGCTTGCAAGTTAATTTATCAAAAGAAGCAACAGAGAAAGTGTAAAGGGCAGGAATAGGAACTTCTTGAATTAACCCAAGTTGCCTGGCACAGTATTGGGGAGAATAGATTTCAAAGCCAGCAGCAAACCTGCCTTTTGTTGAAAATCTCACAGGGAGATCAACAGAAGTCAAGACAGATTGCCAAAAGTCACTTTTGTTCTTTCGAAAGGCAGGAAGGTAAGATTTGAATTGAGGGCTGAAGAAAGGAGAGAAAGAATGTGGATTCTCCTTAATGGAATAAATTTGGGAAATAAAGTACCGAAAACAAGAGGATGGTCCTTTAGGAACAGAGACCAATTTCCTGCTCAAGGTTTGGCAGACTAGTTGGTCAGGAATAGAAATCGAGAGAGGCTGGATAACTTAATCCTCGGAAAACCAAGCAGGGAAATAGAAGGTTGCCCATGCTTGAAGAAGCCAAAGAGGACCACCAAAAACGCCACTAACTTCATATGAAGCAGTGGAGGAAGAAGCACGGGCTAAACCCCGATAGAGCAAGGCCAACATTGTCTTGCCTAAAGAAAGTTGGGTCCCTGAAGCTAAAGCAGAAGCAACAACAACAAAATCGTTCGAGACCCTAACTATAGGGTGGCAGAAAAGGAATTTACAGAGCCAGTATAAAAGAAAAGCAGTGTGCTCTTCGTCGGTAATTGCACTTTCCTTCTTAAAGTAGTTTTTCATGAATGTTCCATAGGCCATTTCAGAATCAGATAATTTGCCGAGCGGCGAATGAGAATCTGGAGACAGGGTAGATGGGCCTGTACCCAAAGGAGAAAGCCCAGTAAGGCAATGTACATCAAGCAAAGTTACCGACATAGGAGAAAAAGGGAAAAAGAAGCAGTTGGTCGAAGATGACCAAAAACAGGACAATGCGCCAACTAGTTCCCGATTCACATGGTAGTCGAAACAACTAAGACGCAAAGCATCGTGGATGGAAAGGGTATTCCAAAGAGAACCCTTAGAAGGAAAAAGACGAAGGTACCATTGATAGAACTCAGAATCAAAATCGGAGAAAGCCCTAAGGCGAGAAGGACGAGAATACCACTGGTACGCCAAAATAGATGACTCATGGATGGGAAGTACCTCAACCTGATGACGAGGGAAGTGGTTTGACAAGCATTGTGGAACGAAAAAGTGATTGTAAGCAGCAGGGCCGAGGATATAAGAATCTTCAAAATCATTCTGTACAGAGAACAGATGAGATCCTTCTTTGAAATTATCAGAATCTCGGAATAGATAATACCGGTCGAGGGCATCCGACGCAGAAAAGGAGAAAGTTTGGTCCTTGGAAGTTTTGGAAGCCATGGATTTTAGGAGAGTGTCGGAAAAGATTGCAGAGAGTCGAAAAGGTGAAGATGCAGAAGAACGAAAAAGGAACAATTTTTATCAAAAGTGTTTTGGAGACGAAAGGGTAGGCGCGCGAAGCTAGGTGACGAAGCGACGTCAAGAATAGGTACTATTTCTTTGACATTTAAAAGAATTAAAAGTTCTTTTAATTCTTTTAAAAGGGGGCATTTGTTTACACCAAAATCGGCATAGATGCCAAGTCGGTTTAATGTAAAAATCCGACGGACAATGGAGCTCAGTCGTCTGCCGAAGTACGTTTGGATAAAATTCAGGAATGCTCTGATACCATGTGAATGGCACCATGTCCCGAATTCGGTGATTGGAGAGAATCGGTAATTTTACCGAAATATGAAAAGTTTACATTTCGGGAAATGCTGAAACTACCGAAAATCGGCAAGATCACAACCCAGCCACGTGAATCGTGACAACAGGAAGTTATGAGCAAAAAGCGGAGATAGTTAGCACGAGCAGATCGTGGGAGATTATTTATCCAAATTGGAAGTTATCCCAGCGGTTGAGATTAAGTTTTGGTGGACAATGAAATTGGAAAACGTGGATAGAAAAGGCAGTTATTGAAAGCGCCAAGATTCAAAGTTTGAAAACAAAGAAGTAACCGACGAGCAGTTGCAGGATAAGAGGAGATACAAATACTTAGAGAAAGCAAAGACGGAAGGATCATCAACAACAATACAAAAACACTCAAACTTATCTGCACTTTAGTTTCCTCTGCACTTTTACTTCCTGCGTTTACAGCTTCCTGTAGTTTTAATTAACCTTCAAGTCCTTTACAGCTTTCATAGGAGTATTGTAACGTAATTAGAAACGTTGTTGATCTCAGATCCATTTTCAATCCACTCAATTTCCACCCGCTTCCATATAACCCTGCACTACACTCTGTTTTTCACCACGATATTCCTAGAAATCAAGCCACAGAACCTACTTTAATAAAAATCGAAAAAATCGAAGTTTCGGTGAAGGATATTCCTCGTCATAAAACGAGCGAACACATAGCATGAAACATTTACAGTGGTTCCCGTATCTTTCAGCTAGTCATCTATAGAGGAGAGCCCACTTGCTAAAAACCAACATTTAGTTCCTATCTACATCTGTATCTAATCTTTGTATGTAGTTCAGGAGATAGGGGGCACTAAATTAAGCAGACAAACTTTGCCCTACACATGCACGTTTTTGTTCTCTGTAATAGTAAGCAAAACAAGGTCAGAAATTTTAGAGATGTTCTGGACCAGCGTATCAGTTGGCCTCACATGTACATCAAGATCGATTCCTCGACCTGCACCTTGAAATCTTTAGCTGGTTTTCCATTGGCTTGTTAAGAGAAAGGACACTATGTACCTCAACCACTAGACAACACAGATTTTCAGCCTCTCATGTTTCTTGACCAGTCAGAAAAACATAACATGTGATTTTCTCGACATCACGCCCTCCCTAGACCCCAGCACTTAAATCTCAGCCATTTATTAAATTTCAAGAGCATTTTGTTCTCAAACCCTTCTATATATGCCCTTTACCAGAAGAAAATTTCATCGAGAAGCAGAAAACCTTTTGCCTTCGCCACGTTTACTTCACACAAGCGGAAATTTTTTGCATTTACCTAGTCCTTGTTCAAAATCATGGGTATCAGATTGCACGGTTCTCTACCAGCAAAGAAGTTTTTTAGTCAAACTGTTCTGTTGGCGAAAAAAGCCGCTTCAGCTCCTCTGAATGTGCCGAAAGGTTTCTTCACGGTCTATGTTGGAGAAACTCAAGAAGCGTTTTGTGGTCCCAATATCCTAATTAAGCCAGCCTTCATTCCAGGGTTTGCTAAGCAGATCTGAAGAAGAATACGGCTTTGATTATCCAATGGGAGGGCTGACGATTCCTTGCGAAGAGGAGACGTTCATCAGAATCACTTCTTGATTGACATGGTCATAGGAAACGAACTAATGACACGATTCCTGATGACAAATTTTTTAACTTCGCCTCTGTTGGCTAGCTAGTCGTCTTGCTTAACCTTGAGAATCTTAACAACTAGGTACCAATCGAGGTAAAGCTAAGACTGAGAGCATTTTACTTTCACTTGGCTTGACCAAAATGTACAGTTTTCTTCTGATTGATCAGGTGTCTTTATCAGTAATCTATCATCATGAACTCATGGTTGAATGATCAAATTTCATCCGACAGAAGAAGGTCATCGAACAATTCGGCTTCTTCTCTTGAACCTTGAACTCCTTGAGGAATTAGGAGGCTGAACGAGTATACTACCCAAACAACCATGGAAAAAACAAAACACGAAAAAGAATTAGAATAATGTTTTTTGTCAGCATGAATGTTTATATGCTCTCCGAAGATCACATCATCCATCTACCCAGTCAATATCAGGGTTAATTCCAAAAAAAAGCACCAACTTTAGGTCGAGGGACAATTTTGGCCCAAACTTTTTTTTGTTCCATAAAAAAGCATCAACTTTAGGTCGAGGGACAATTATGGCCCGAACTTTTTTTTGTCCCGTAAAAAAGCACCAACTTTAGGTCGAGGGACAATTCTGGCCCGAACTTTTTTTTTTCTCGTAAAAAAGCACCAACTTTCACTTAAATCCCAAATCTGGCTCTTATTGACTTAAAACCATTGATTTTCCAACTTGACGATTCCACCTTAGCAATAAATCCACGTGACTTGCTGACTGGATTTAAAGCATTATTCATTGTCTTATTCTCCGAACCACATGAAGAATAACGGTGAAACCGTACGTCTCCTTCACTTCACCTAAGTCAAAAATATCTCCGATTGAATCTTTCTGGCCAAACTTCGTCGTTTTGTCGTAATCTGAAGCTGTAGACCACCGTCCGTCGACAGACGCCATGGAAGAGATTCGCCAGGCTCATCACCATAACTTTTTTTTCTCAAACAAGGGTAACTTCAGACATAAAGTCAATAGGGGGTCAAATTTGGGATTTAAATGAAAGTTGGTGCTTTTTTACGAGACAAAAAAAAGTTCGGGCCAGAATTGTCCCTCGACCTAAAGTTGGTGCTTTTTTATGGGACAAAAAAAAAGTTCGGGCCAGAATTGTCCCTCGACCTAAAATTGGTGTTTTTTTTTTTAATTAACCCGTCAATATCATAAATTTCATTAACTTTTATCCAGAAAGTATCTTGATAACATTTTGTGCCTCATGTAGCCGGGTACTTCCGAAGAGGGGAGCACATAAAAGTTTCTCTTTCGTCATAGGCCAAACAGTCGTGCAAATATATATTCACATGGAACTGACTACTATAGGAGGATATGTTTCGTCCTCTTAAGAGCTAGGAGATCCAATCAAGGTGAAAAGCTAAGAATTAGAGTATTTTACTTTCGCTTGGCTTGAGCACAATGTACAGTTTTTCTTCTGATTGATCATGCGTCGTTCTCAGTAATTCATCATCGTGCAAGTTCCCACTCCAACATAGGAAGGCCATAGAACAATCCGGCGGCTACTGTCGAACCTTCAACTCCTCAAAAAATCGGGAGAATTTTAGATGCAAAAACCAAAAGACTTATTGGTCAGCATGGAATTTTAGATGCTCTCGAAAGATCACATCATCATTCATCTATCCAATCAATATCATAAATTTCATTTGACCTTTTCTAGAGAATATCTTGATAACATTTTGCGTGATTTGTCACCCGGTACTTCCGAAAGAGAGAGCACATAAAAGTTTCTCTTTCGTCATTAGGCCAAACAGCCGTGCAAATATAAATTCACATGCATGAACCGTAAAAACCTGCTCACAGCATTACCTATGTCCAACCAAAGTTCATGGAGTGTTGACGCGATCGGTCGCTTCTTGCATCATTCCCCACAGACCAAGACCCTGACATCGGTCAAGAAATTGCATGCCTACCTGCTCACAACCGGTTTACTTCTCTTGTCCCCGAGCGTCCAAGCAAAACTCATCTTCTCATACACTGCCTGCGTTCCAAGAACTAACCTTCAAATTTTGACTAACTTGTGCAAGTTCTTGATCCCCAACAGAGACCCTGTACCCTTCAATATTCTGATATCGCAGTTTGCTCGAAATGGGTTTGCTCCATATGCACTAAAGACCTTCTCTTTCATGCATTTCAGTGGTGTTCATTTGGATTCATATGCTCTGTGCAGCACCTTGACGGCTTCCTCCGACGGTGAGGGTGTGATTTTCGGTAGACAGGTGCATGCCCTCGTCGTGAGGTCAGGTTGGTCGTCCAGTGTTTTTGTTAATGGTGCTCTGATTGATTTGTATGCAAAGTCATCATTGGTTGATGATGCGGCACAGCTGTTTGATGAAATTCCTGTTAAGAACACCGTTTGTGCCAACGCTCTATTGTCCGGTTATATTGATGCTAAGATGTGGTCAGAGGGGCTCAAAGTGGCTAGAAACATGCCTCTCTTGAATATAAATCATGATCATTTCACATTGTCGGCGATGTTGAGGGCATCCACCGGACTGTCTGCAGTTGAGTTGGGTAGGCAGGTTCATGGCCGCCTTGTTCGCACAGTTTACGATTCTGAGAATGATTTGTTTTTGCAGAGTTCAGTGATCGAAATGTATGGTAAATGTGGCTTTGTAGAAAAGGCTTGTCAAGTATTTGCTTTGGCTGGATATGGAGGAGAGGGAGAGAATGACCTTGTTCTTTGGACTTCCATGTTGGATGCTTACGGAACAAATGGTTGTTATGGTAAAGTGATTGAATTGTATAAAGAAATGCTCGTAAAAGGGATCAAGCCAGATGAGGTAGCCTTTGTGACTGTTATCGCAGCTTGCGCTCGAACTGGTCAAGTGGCACTTGGGATTGAATTTTTCGAATCAATTAGAAATGAGTACAACGTGAAGCCTACCCAAGAGCACTACAGTTGTCTGGTGGATCTGCTTTCTAGGGCAGGTGAGTTAGATAGAGCTTGGAAGCTGCTCGACGAGATGCTTCAGAAGGGGTTTGGTGGTACTGATTCAATGTGGGGGGCTCTTCTCAACGCTTGCTTGGACAGTGGGAACATTGAACTGGGAAAATTGGCTGCTCAAAGAGCACTTGAGTGGGATCCTCAAAATGTTGGAATTTATATATTGCTATCAAACTTATATGCTAGATTTGGCATGTGGGATCAGATTGGATTGTTGAGGGAGTTAATGAAAGAAAGAGGGTTGAAGAAAGATACTGGATGTAGTTGGATTGAGGTCGCAAATTAAATTGGTTTTTCAATTTGGATAAACTATGAAGAAGTGGTTTCCATTTTTGCTTGGAATATGACCATGCTTAATTAAGCATAGTCCAAATGGCTTTTCTTGCAGAAGAGCTTGAAATTGGAGGCATAGAAGCACGTACTAAATACAGAGATGGACTGCAGCTCAAAGACAAAGCTGATAGGAGAACTTGGCTTATGACTTTGGAATTAGACAACATTCTTAAAAGTTAAACGTCTTTGATAAGGTTGACATGAATCGTAAGACTAGAGGTAGTCAAATGGAATAGTCGGAGACTTGCGATTCTAATCTCAATTTGTTTGAAGATGCTTGAAAAGGATTTGCATAATGATGTTGCAGCTGTTGTCCCATAAAGGTGCTTTGCATAGCAAATTTTGCCAATGAAAAGGAAACAAGGTGGTAAAACGGAGCATACTTAAGCCTCGGCACTACTTTTAGAAGCAGATAAGCTATTACAACATGCAGCTGCTTGTGAGGTAGTTAGAACTGTTATCAAACTTTTGATTATGCTATTTAAATAAGCTATTAACATCTCATTTATCGGTTAAGTTGCACAGATTACTGCATGTATATTCTTCATCATCATAAGATACAGATGTGTTATTAGTTTACTATTTTGGGTAATCAGTATTTATAAACATGCAACACTTGTGGTTTATGACTCATCTCTTGTGGTAAGAGCTACCCACAAGAAACACTTATGGTTTATGCCTCTTGTTGTGTAAAACTATTCCCATAGGACCCCGAAAGAGATTCATCATGTATCACCCATTCCTTCTGTCCATTTTTATAATGTGATAATTACTGACTTCTCCTGGACTAAGCTCTTTACCTTGTCTTTGCAATTTCTAGTAACTCTTCAATTTTCTTTTTATTACTTTTTTTTTAAAATCAGAAGTTTTATCGCCAGCTTTACGGGTAGTGGTTTGAAAGCCAAAGTAGACTTTGAACAGGAGAACAACCTCCACCCTACTCTTATTTTTGGTTTCGTACTAGACCACAATTAATTATGAACCATAGACCACTCAAAGCCATTATTGATGTTGCAGGCTCAGTCTGTCAAATTAAAATGTCAAGTTGAGTGAGTCTTTCCCAACGGCAAAGTTAGGGCGCGTACTGTCGATGAGCCTACGACAACCTTCACAAAGTGCCATGGGTGGTCATCAGGTGCTAAGCCATCTGCCTCCTCATACTACAACCACGGTAACAACAATACTAATGTCGATAATATAACCATACTAAAGAGTTATCATCCTACATTTACTTGGAAATTAACATCAAAGTTGGAGAGCAATGCAACTTGGTGATACAATATTAGAGTTTTGATGTCTGATTTATGCTGAGCATTTCACGTCCAAAATTATTTAACACTTTGTAAAGGACATTTTATGTTGATCTTTGTATAACTTATTAGGCTTTAATACTCGTGATTTTTTTCATGGAAGACAAATTATCGAGCAGAATACAGTCATGAACATCATTTTATCACATGACACCCTATAGTTTATTAAGTAATCCTTTTGGTGTATGTGGACCTCTTGCTGCTCCAACTTGTATATTTCGGGCTCAACAACTCTGCTGTGACTGGATGTTTGCTTTTAGAATCCTAGCAGACCCTGTAGCAGCATCACCAATTAGAAATACGACAGTTTTTCTGCAGTTATAACACACCAAATCTGTTGTCTAGGTATCTTCTAATTCAGGGTCTTTACATTTAAATAGAGCAATTTTAACTTGCAGTTCAAGCTTTGACAATGGAGTGTATATTGTTGCCTCAGTTTGATTTCTTATTGTTTAACAGCAAAATTTACTTTAAGTTTAAAAAATGTCCAGCAGATAGCTTGCGGATGGCTGTCCTCTAACTTTTAAAATAAAACAAGGCACGGCTTTTGCAGTTGCCATATTTCACAAATTTGATGCAGCTTATTGTACCCCCATTCTCTCTATTCTTTTCTGTGCAATTAAAATAAGTTACTTTTTTAATTCAATTCTTTCTAAGCATGTGAAGAGCAGGAAAGGCAATCTAAGCTGATTTTGACACAATCAAAACCTAAAACAGCCATGGATTTATGCTGATTCCATTCATACAGCAAGTGTCTTTCCATCCTAACAAAATTCCTTATCCGCAATCAAAAATTGCAACTTAGCATAGCATGCTAAATCGCCAGCTGGTTTTTATTGTTTTTTGTAAATATCAAGGGGGAAAGGACGTTCAAAAACTCTAGCTAATGAAATCATTGAGATATTGACGACAATTCACACCATGCTTTCTTAGGCACCCTTTTGGAGGAACTTTAAGTTGGAAAGGCTAAAAAGAATTGAGAAATCAAAATGAGTTCATAATCAAGCCACTCTCACCTTTGGACAGGTCACCGACAGTCTTTAATTTCTAGTGTATTTGTAGGTAGAACGTCAATCACTTAGAATAACCACTTCTCCAAGCAGGTGAGGTATTATATGCGCACAATGGATTCTCTTGAAAATTTCAAAGTATGCATGGAACTATGAAGTGGTTGTATGCATGGAACTATGAAGTGGTTGGAACTATTAGGGACCACCTGGGAAAACCTCATAAACCCAAAAACCCCCCTATCCGGAGGAAGGGGAGTTTCGAACTCCCCACCTCCCCCGTTCGCGGTGGCCTCTGGGGCGAGCCCCTAGTAGATTGTACGTTTTTATTTTGTGCCACATATCTCACTCTTTGTATGAATGATTCTCCAGCTTTGGCATCAATGTTCCCTTATTTCAATAGATTACTTACTATATTGAAATGTTCAAACGGTACTGACTGGTGCAGGTGAATGGCTGATTTATGCTCTATCCACACTTGAACAAGCTACCAAGCGGTACCGTGTGCAGAACACATCATCACCATCTAGCTTTGAGAAGCTCATGTGAATTAGCATTCATTCGTAATCTTATTGTAGGATTTTCTGTCGGGTACTTGACCTTACAATGGTGTCCTTGAGATAAAGTGTCCGGTCCATTTCAATAAAGCTGAGGACCCTCTCGAAGGTACCATGTTAGTCATTTTGATGCTCTGAGAAAAAAAGACAGTAAATGAGATGGGGTCATCCACTCTGGTTTTCGTACGGTTGTCCATGTGCTCTCATGGTCATTTCATTATAATTCCAATTTGTCACTCTCTTGGGTCCGGTTGTCTTAATCCTTAATTGCCACGATCCTCTCGGTTTGGCTTGCAAGACCCGGATCAACAGTCCTGTCGTCCCGTTCACAGTGAGGTAAAATTCACCATGCCCCTTCTTAATTTCAAGTTTTAGCACTATGACTGACTCCTTCCTAAGTGAAGCAAAACCCTCATAACTCATGCATTTACGACATATTCGAAGTTGAGATGGAACCTGTAGGTTGTTTTCAAGTATATGGAATGATCTCATCCTCTCAGTGGACATTAGTCGTTTGTCTGGATAGGGAGGCTTTTGGGGCAAGAGTAACATGGCCTTCATGTGCCAATCGCAGCCTTAGTCACAATCAACTCCAAAAGGAAGAAAAGAATTGCGCTTGTCTTGGTTAGGGTCCTGCGGATCACCGCACTGCATTGGAGGGAGAATTGTGGGCCTATGTACTTGGTTTTTTTGTCCCAAAACAATCTCATTCACAGAACATGAAAGCCTTCATACTCTCTCTCTCTCTCTCTCTCTCTCTCTCTCTCTCTCTCTCTCTCTCTCTCTCTCTCTCTCTCATTTTCCATGACAACCCTTTTTCATGAATTGCAGTAATGTATTTGAATCTGAGTTCTTGTGCGATAAAATTCTAAATTTATCTTTCTTTTTTTGAGTTCTTTTTTGCTGGCAAGTTCAGACGCAGAGAGAAAAAATCAATGCGTCTTATAGATGCTAGTCATTTCACCAACTTCCTCTGTTGAATGTTGTCTGGGCCTTGAGGCATGTGGGGACTCGTTATGTGCTGTACTGGGCATCACTTGACCCTCTGGAGAGAAACAAAATTAGAAGACATAAATGGCTGGAATTCGCCATCACTCAAGCCATTTCACATGTACTGCACGTCGCTTTCTCAGCCTTAGAACATGGATAGACATAAATCTTCCTGAAACTGATTGAAGATCAGTGGTTCATATTCAAAATTTAAGTATTTTATTTACTTTCGTCCCGTTTAATCTTTTTTTCTTTTCGTTCTCTGGCGGTGGCATTCAAGCGTGAAGCAACCATGCAGGACCGCGTACCCAAAAAAATGAAGATATTATTTTCCTTCCTTCCATGCTGTCTAAATTCTTATTGCACTGGATGATCAGATATATAGGGAAATTATGTTATAGAGTCCAGAATTGAGCAGAGTATTATGCAAAAACATTATGTATCCCATCCTTGAGCTATGAATCGTATGTTGTTTCTGTGAAGTGCGTAATCAGTAAGTTAAGACTATAACACGACGTTTGCAGGTTACTGTTCTTCCTGATATGGTGAACTCGATCAAGGAAGACCAACTTGTTCCAGAGTCTGGTCGTGGCAAGTTCGGCATCGACGAGCCCTCATACGTGTGAAATTAAAGAGTCCGCGCGCACATGTGTGAACGTGGCTCAACAATGATGATCTTAATACCATCTCCAGTTGCCAATAAATAGAGAGGAAGTCTTGTTTTTTTGCTTCAAAATGGAATTTTCAAGTACATTCACATGCAGATCTTAACACGCAAAGGCAACAAATCTGTCTGATCTGCGTGTCTATTACACGGTTTTGAATCTTTCAAGACTAGAAATAAGAAGAAACATTGATTTTTTTCTTTCTGAAAAATATCCGTTGGACATCTTTGGAAGAACAAGAATGATATGAGATCATGTGGGTCGTCGTCGTTTCGAGAAGCCACGAGTGAAACAGTCTTGCCATAATTATCAGAGCATGCATCCGCAGGAATCGTCCTTGATTTCGGATGGAGAAAGGTTCAGGATTGCATTATTTGAAATGGTCATGTCATAACTTTGGGGCTGTGCTTTCACCCTAATTCATTTTAATTAATTTTTTAAAATAATAATGACACGTTTTACATCTAAGGGGAAGAATACGTGCGTACATTCGGCAATCGTCCGACTGCTTCTGAAATCAATCTCTACAGATGATCCTCTGTTGAAGCAAAGAAGCGAAAAAAAAGAAGGAAAAAGCTTTACACCTGTCTCATTTTCTACTAATCAATTGCATACCAAGATGCTTTAATTACTCGTACGTGCAGGCTGTAGCAGTATCACTTAATGTGTGGCCTAAACTGTAGAGTGTTGCGTGAAAAGGTACCGGCTTTTACCCAAGGACAATTTTGTCCACCGTTGCACTTTCCGTCAAGACGTGGAAACATGACGTCTAAAGTGGCAAACGGACTGTTCATAAACGATGAAAACAACGTTATCTCCCGCATACAATGAAAACAACGTTATTTCCAACTGAATCGAGTAAGGATAACCTTGAGTAGCATGAAACTACATTGTTTTCGCTAAAGAATCAGAATGACGTCGTTTCTGAGCCAATTTATGGGGTTTCAATGAGAGAGAGAGAGAGAGAGAGCTATGTGAGTTGGAGCTAAAGGAATTTGACGATTGTGATATGAATTTATGATGAACCATGAGACTCAAATTGCATCCCCCCACTCTCAATCTAATTCGAAACTCTAACATTTGGCTCGAAAAATCATGTCATTAATTATTTAAGAAAGTCATATTCGTTGATATAACACTCGTCATTTGCCATGTCATTTGCCATTTTAGACATCACATAGGCACATTTTGGCCAAAATTATCACTTGGATAAATGAGACAATTAAAAATTCACGCCAATATGATCACCCTGGGTGAAAGTTGGCGCCATTTGGACATTCAAGTTTGGACCGAAATTGTCTCCCCCCAAGTAAAAGTCGGTGCCCTTTTTAGTACTGAAATCCTGTATTAGAGTAGAAAACTGTGGCATTGTCCAAATGTTACTAAAGTAGTGACGGCAATTCCCAACAAATTTTCTGGCTAGAAAGAATGAAAGTGATAGGAGGAGGAGAGAGAGTCCATGGTGCCCTCCTTAGGAGGGGGCCAACATAGAAGAAGAAGAACCCAAATGGGCATCGCCCCCACCATGTCCTTCGACACTTGAACATAAACCCCCTTCGAACCCGTGCCCATGTCCTTCGTTCATGCATCACGCAGTATGCAGCCGTGATACCACAGATCAATCAAAGTTTTGCCACCATTTAATGTGATTCATCATAATTCAGAAGAGAGAGAGAGAGAGAGATGAGTTCATCTGTCACATTACAGAGAGAGAGAGAGAGAGAGAGATCAGTTCATCTGTCACATTACGTAGCATCAGGGAGTCACGCCTCGAGACCTTTGCTTTACTATCCTCGCCACTCTCGTCCCTTAAGTCTCATAAATACCCCCCCATCTCCTCCCTTCCCTCCTCGCACCACCTTCCCTCATTCTCCTCTCTCTCTCTCTCTCTCTCTCTCTCTCTCTCTCTCTCTCTTTCTAGGTCATCATCAATGGCTTACAAGAAATCCCACAAGCTGCCTCAGCCCGCGGTCCTCAAGCAGATCCTCAGGCGGTGCTCGAGCCTCGGCAAGAGGCCGAACGGCGGGTTCGACGAGGAGGACGGCCTCCCGCTCGACGTGCCCAAGGGACACTTTGCGGTCTACGTCGGCGAGAACCGGGCCCGGTACATCGTTCCGATCTCCCTCTTGACGCGCCCCGAGTTCCAGTGCCTCCTCCAGCGGGCCGAGGAGGAGTTCGGGTTCGACCACGACATGGGCCTTACCATCCCCTGCGAGGAAGTCGTCTTCCGATCTCTCACGTCGATGATCAGATGACAAAAGAGGGGGAGAGAGGCATTGGATGTTTCGGTGATGGGACGGAGAGAGAGACGGGCCAAGAAGAAGCAGCGACACGTACATTGATTCGTTATTTGCTTCTTCTTTTTTTCAACGTCCCTAGCTCTCTCTTCTGTCTATGGTCTTCATTCGTTGTGAATCTTGATCTTTATTTCTTTTTTTTTTTGGGGTATGTTTGAGCCTAATGCGCTCTTATTTCTGGCGATCGGAGGACTCTAACCCGAAACTTTTTCCCGGGAGGAATTTCTTGGGTTTATTCGTGTAGAAAGGAAGTTCGTGGTTTCCTCATGAAGGTGGACAACGTAGCACCTCATGAGAGAAGTTGACGCTAAGGATGTAATGTAATTGCCATGGTGATTGTTCCAATGAAGAGTTATCTTCACTTGGGTCACATACACGGATTTTGGCTTGATGTTGCTGTATCGTTGACGTGATTTTGAGGTATTTCATTTACCCGAAACTTACGTTAGCACAGACTTTTCCCATCTTACACGTGTGCATGTGTGATGCGTGTGTGCATCAGCATACACACTTGTTAAATTTGATGGATCCAATCGAATATAACGTGACCTATTGAAATCGGCGGTTCAAATGAACAATCTCGAAAGGTTTTGTTACCACTTTTGTAATCACTTTCCTTCTCGTGCTCTCAATTTTTCATAGCGTTGGATGTACGTCAGATGTCCATATTTATCTAATAATTACAAATTTGCCATCTCTCTCTCTCTCTCTCTCTCTCTCTCTCTCTCTCTCTCTCTCTCTCTCTCTCTCTCTCTCTCTCTCTGATTAGCCTTCATTAGAGGTTGATTGCTCCTAACAGGCTGAGGAAATAACAAGCAAAAGAAGGGAGAGATATAAAGGATAGGGGCAGCAAGAGAGAGCGTTTTTGCCTTCACCGAGGGTTCGTCGCGGAGAGTATTACTCGCCTTCAACGAGGGCTCATCACTGCCCGTGACAAACCCTCAAGGAGAGAGAGAGAGAGAGAGGAGGGGGCATAAACGTAAACCTGACAAAATATTTGATTTATTGAGATTGGTTTATAAAATTGATTTATTAAATGATATATCACATTGTTATCGATTGGTAAATACAACCAATCTATTTAAAAAAATCACTCACGATCCGACACATCACTTGATAAATCAATTCAGTGAAATTGACGTTACTCTTGATTTTGGCTCGGGTGTGTGGCGACTATAAATCACTGATGCAACACGGTCATCTAGGAGAGTGGACAGGAATCCAGCATCAATCACAAATAGGAGACCCACCATGTCCCAATTCCAAAAGCTGGAGGGGTTGTTAGTGAAACTGAGGGGACATTAGACGCGCACCCTTTCTTCTTAAGCTCCTAGGTATCGCGCTTGTCAGATCAAACATGGGCCTTAAAAATGAAAGTTTTCCCATTTTCATTCGGCAAAACAGGAACAGTAAAAGCTACTGCACTTTATGTGTACAAAAACGTAATGAAGAGGAGAAAGAAAGAAACTCAAGCTCTGTCGTGAGTTCCATGGCCCCCTCTCTTTCTATCTCTCTCTCTAAGGTGAGCATGAGTTCATTGAACATGTCACTGTAATCTGCGAGATACCAGCAGCTTTTCAACTTGCATTTTTTGTGATAAAAAGAGAAGTACCAGAAAAAATGTGCAACAGGGAGAACGGGTCCTGCTTTTATTCTTGTTATTAATGTCGAATGCGAGAAGGTTATACTGGCTTCGAGGGTGTCTTTACCTCACAGCCACAAACTCCTCTCTGACAATTACACCTCTTCAACTGCTTTCTCCAACTTCATCTCTCTCTCTCTCTCTCTCTCTCTCTCTCTCTCTCTCCTGCCCCGGGAAGAATATCTCCCCTCCTCCCACCAAAAAACTCCCATCTTTGCTTTCGGAGAATTTCCCTCCACACAATATATATCTCTTTTCATGTACATATCATTACAATTCTTTCTCACGCTACCATTGCTAACATCGAAATATTTAAACTATTAAATGAAGATGGAGTTTAATATTTGAACAGTTTAACACCTTCTCTCATGCGAAGGCTGAAATTTGGCTTGAAACTAAAGTATAATGTGAGAGACAAAAAAAGGTGTCATGAAATATTAGAATTCAAGATCTCGCTCTGATATCATGTGAAATTTTCAGAGATCGCTAGCAATTATTCTCAAAACTTAAATTGATTGATTGATGAAAACATGATTTAGTATTTAAATGGTTAAACACACACATGCGCACACATTCATGGGTCTATTTCGATTTAGCCTGAAGTGGCATAAAACATTAGGATGAGCACCGATTCACGATAGACCCTAGAATCAAATAGTATCGATCCTACCCAACCGATTATGGTACGATTCTCACGTGAACCAATTATTACAGGTCAAATTCCCTATTCTGGGTGTGGAGCCGAAACGAATTGGAAAACCGGACTGAAAAACCCTAATTCTCTCCTTTTAGTTTAAACTTGCATCTTGTAGTCTTGTCCTTGTTGCCCCTTCCTCTTGTAAAGAAGGGAATGTTTTACTAAAGTTTGTTCCTTTAAGGTTTAAAATATATATATATATATATATATATATATATATATATATATATCCAAAAAACCAAAAGGAATTGGCTATTTCCAGGTAGACCCCGGAACCAGACCGAATTGGCAAGGTCGATTCCAAGGTTTATAGGATTGGTTTCACGTTCTAAAAACTAGAAACCAGTCCCAATAAAATAGATTATGGGTTAGAAACCTTCCCACCTCGAAACCACTCACTCCTTTAAAACATTTTCCTTGGCCATAAAATTAAAAAAAGGAGATGACATCGTTAATCTAGTTTTTATATTTAAGTGAAAAAAAAAAAGACAGAGGAAGTTGTTCGTCTGAAAAATATAGCTTTTTACGAAATCACATATGAGTCCAGCCTCATTACAGAGGGAATTCAATTGGGCAAACAAGTTCAAGGGAAATGCATTGCTAACTCCACTTTTGATAAGCTTTCTTTGTGGGGCATGCTGTATCCCATGAGTAATTAGGAACTTAAAATTGAACCGGTCTAGTCTCAAACCAATATCAATTTTGCTTTTCAATCTATTGTCTCCGACACCATATTGAGGTGCAACTTTTATAACAAGTTAGAGAAGAGCGTTATCGATAGATCGTCATGGATTGATTTTTGGGGGGATTGCGAAACTCATCTACTGTGGCTGTATTTCTTGCAGGGTGTAATAGTTCAATCCCCATCTGAGGGTGTCTTAGGTTACATCCACCGCCCACATCCTAGACTCACAGTACCACAAGTGCCTGTAGGAGATACCTAAGACCCATAATCCTACGTGATACATTAACTTTATATACACTTGGGTAGAGCAAACAGGGTGTTTGGTTAGTGCTTTGTTTCTATATTACGTTATCTTAGAAGCTGATTCATTCTGGTTACAGTACAAGTAGACCTGTTAAACGGGTGGGTCAGGTCGGGTTTGGATCGGGTCATAAATGGTCTGACCCAAATTGACCCATTAACCCGTTTATGACCCATTTATTCGTAGTGTAAATATCCCGACCCATACCCAACCCATACCCAACCCGACCCATATTGCTAAAACACTTTTATATTTAACATAATCTAGGAATACTTGTTTCTTATGGTTTTTTTTTAAATTATACTGCTAAAACATTTTATGCAATATAAAGCTAGTGAAAAAATTTTATAATTTTTTTTAAAATTGAGGTTTTGTTTGTTTTGCGAAAAATGCGACATTTCTAGAAAATATTTTCCATAAAGTCATTATCCAAGAAAATAAAAAAATTTCTGACGTTTGGCTGAAACCTGAAAATAAACTAGAAAATATTTTTCGATATTTGGTATATAAAATCTGATTTGATTTTACTTTGTGCATTCATTTTAATAATATTAATATTTTTTATTTTTTAAATCGAATTTTTAATTATTTTTTCTTTTTTTCTTTTTTTCTTTTTCCTGTATTTTTGGCCGATCGCCGGCCGCCGTGGCCGGCGACCGACCACAGGCGAGGACGAGCTCACCGGATGCCGGCGAAGCTCGTTCTCGCTGATCTGGCGAGGCCGAGGCCTCATCGGCCTCAGGCGAGGCTCCACCTCGCCGAATCCGGCGAGCCGAGCCTCGCCAGCCTCGGGCGAGGCTCCACCTCACCAGATCCTGCGAGGTCGAGCTTGCCCGAGGCCGGCGAGCTCGAGTCTCGCCAGCCTCGGGCAAGGCTCCACCTCGCCAGATCCGGCGAGGTCGAGCTCGCCCGAGGCCGGCGAGCTCGAGTCTCGCCAGATCGGCGAGGCTGGAGCCTCGCCACAGGTCGGCGAGGCGGATTGGGCGAGCCTCAAGGTTGTCGAAATCGGGCGAGCTCGAGGCTCGCCAGATCGGCGAGGCTCGAGCCTCGCCTGAGGCCGGCGAGCTCGAGCTTCGTCGGAATCGGGCGAGCTCGAGCCTCGCCCAAGCTTCGCTGGCCTCCGGCGAGGTCGTCCCGCCCCGGTGGCCGGTGGCCGGTCGCCGTGGCCAACCACTAGCCGAAATAAAAAGAAAAAGAAAGAAGAGAAAAGAAAAAATAAAAGAAAAGGAGAAAAAATAAAAATAATTAAATTTCGATTTTTTTTTAAACATCTTTATGAAGAGGGAGAGAGTGTGTGGATGGGTCTAGTAAGTGAGTTGAACATGAGTTCCAAACTCAACCCATTTAGACCCATTTATCTTTAAGCTTTAAAATTTAAAACCCATTTAAGGTTGACTCTTTAAAATTAAAGTGACCCATTTATTTTTAAATAGGTCATATATGGATTTAAGACCCATTTTGACACCTCTAAGTACAAGTCAAGCCATCGACCAGAAGATAAGGTGGGGTACATATGTTCTGCATGTCGGGCTCCAAATATATTGCACTAGATTTCCCTCTTAGGGCTCTCTCTCTCTCTCTCTCTCTCTCTCTCTCTCTTCAACCAACATGCATATGATTTTTCTTCTCTAATAAGTTTTCTCTTCTCCAAAATTTCAGCATGTATAAAACTTCGAGTTCAAAAACTGAAGTCCGAGCAAACTGCCATAGGATGATCGCGAATGCATTTGCTCCCCTTCTAGATATTTTCCATGTGAGTTATACATACGTTTGGAGTAATGATACCCTAAAATTGACTTCCAAAATTAATATATACCATGTCAAATTAGTATATGCGATACGATGTGTCAAATTTCTATCGACTACTCAATATGAACCTCTTTGACTCTCACTTGATGATCTTGCATAAACAATAAATCAACATTTGGCGGCCCCACACTTAGGTGCTGCATGAAAACCATTCTGGTTCTGTCCAGAATTGGTTTTTTGTTCCCAGAATCAGTTTTGGACCAGAAACCTGTTTGGTAACGCAATTTCATTTTTCT